GGAGACAGTAAATTTTAGTGAGAAAGCATGATAAGTATATGAATGATAAGGGCTGGCTTTAATTTATTTTTTATTTGTTTATCAATAGTTTTAGTTTAGTTTTGAGGATGGGACAGCCAAGATGGACCAATAGGTCCCATGTTGTCCTAATACATTGTTATGTTATATTATTTAAAATCTAGATAAGGTCATCAACTTCAAATTTGGACTGAACCAGTGATGAAGTTGTTAGAGCCTGGTTTAATTGTATGGTTGTTAAAGCTGAAGAAAAGAGTATGTAGTGAAGGTCTAGAAAAGGTATTTAGAAAGTCAGTCAGAGTCAACAGTGTTTTAAGTATATATATATACACATGCATTTATTTTATTCAGTGGATTAGGTGCAGATGTTATTCTACATATTATTCTGTTGATGGATCAGTTGAAGATGCTTATAAATGGACTAGAAGAAACTCTTCACAGCATCTTACAGGTAATTTAAATAAAGAAATTTGTTTTTACCTGTTACTTGTATGTATTTTCTGAAGTTGTAACATTTCAAAACCATATAGTAGAAATTAAGGCCATAAAATTATGGTTTCTTTGTTTTATTTTTATTATTATTATTATTACTGGTGTTATCATGAACAATTTATTTTGATTTGTTTCTAATTAACATATATATTCTGTATGTGACAGGCATGTATGGCTCTTTTTTGATTCTATACGATTTTCTGCTTTTTTGTACAATTTAGAATTTAGTTTTTTTGTGTAAAATATTTCATATTTGCTCATATTATTTTTGATATGCGTAAAAGACCATTGTGCAATCAATGATTTTATGATTCAGTTTTATATCTTCTTGATATCACTTTAATAGTGACTGCTTGAAGGTGATATTACAAAAATATATTGAGTATTTATACTTACACACACACACCCTCATTATTTGTACTAGTTTTACATTTTTAGATCGCTTGTGTGTATTACAAAAATTAATAAGTATCTTAATAGCTTTAGAGAAGACCTTTGGGAAAATTTGTGTTCCACATATGTAGCATTTTCTTGTTGTGGTATTTTGTATTTGAATGCACAAAGTTTGTAAAATGTAAAGACAGTGTTGTATATTTACAGTAATTAAAACAGTCAGTGACCTGCCTAAACTAATTATGCATGAGGTTATGTACATAGAGTTCTGAACAAGTCTGATGGCTGTGCAGGGTGTCTTAATAACTGTGAGGTTAAACTTATTCCACAACAAGTGATACCCATCAAACACCTCTAGTACAAAAGACACTTTAAACCGAACGGCCTGATGAAAAATGACAAACTGATCAACTTAATTAGTATGAGAGACCAAATCTATCAACACTTTCAAAACTTGAGTATCAGGGGCGAGTATTAAAACTCGATACTGCTTCCAGTTCCCTGCTCAAGAAGGTGATGGTACCAGTACTCTTAAGTGTCTATAAACAAGTGAAGAAATTCACATGAAAAACTTTAGCATATAAGCACTGTTGACTGAAATGGATCTCTTAATGGTTACAGATCCATTCATCAAATACCTTTCCCTTTGCAATACATCGTACTATCTACAACCCACCTTTCCCTAACACATGTAGTGACAACATCCTTACTACTCTACTAATTTCATTTTTGCTTAGTTTAAAAAAGTTTGAAAAGCCAAATATGAGTACACATTACTTTCTTAATTATATAGATGCCTAGTGTGTATTTGGATTGCATTTAACTGTTATTCCATCAAGTATACATGCTCATTACATGTATACTATTGATTTGTAATAATATTGGAATACCTTACATAGTAACATATTGTAGAATCTTGTTTATTAATCTTGTCAAAGCAACTGGTTGTTGTGAATGTTTGTGATATAATTAATGATTATACTAAGAATGATAGACCTTGATTTAATTCTAAAAATCATTATTGTTACAGTGTTTTTATTAAGAAAGTTTGTGTCTGTAACTAAAGAATATTTAATTTCTGATATAGAAGATTAAATCATCTTTTAAAAACATACGATAAAATAAGGACAGTATACATTATTATGGCTTGAAATTTTTTCAGCAATAGAGTTTCAATACGTTTATATATGTATATTTAAGGACAGTATGATATTTGTAAAAGGTGCTTGTTTAATGGTAGTTTTCTGAGATTTATATTCATAGAAAATGGCTTAAAACTTATAAAGAAAATAAAACAGTGTTATTAAATATAAATACACAGCTTAAAAACAACAGTGCTACTTGTATGGTACATTTTGAGCAAACTTATTATCCTGAGAATGATGGAATAGGTCTGCTGAATAACAGAAGGTTTAACAAGGTATCTATTGTGAAGTAATTCTGAGTTTTCTGACTTTGAGTTCATAAGAATGAATAAAGAGACTGGCACAATGTAAAATAAAATTGAACAATCTTTATTACCAAACAAACAAATTGCATGTTCTTTCTTTAGTAGATACTGGATTGTAAGTTTGCTACCTTCTTTGAGATTGTGTATCAGACTATTCAAACCTAACATTATTTACTCCAACTGTAATGTCAGACTTATCCTGAATGATTAGTGCTATCCACATGATTGTTCATTCTCATTCAAACCTAAGGGAGGTCATAACCTCATGGCATCATCTGGCTACCATTGGCAGACACTGTTTTTTCTACACTCTTGCACAAAGTGCAACATTACAGCCACAACACCCATGGACAGAACATTTATTACCTCCAGAGAATGACAAAGGAACAAAAACAGCTAGAACAAAATTAACTTAACTTTCTTGACCACATGTTATGTGAAAACAGCACCTTCCATAATAACTACAAATAAAAAAAATTACTATATTAAAATAGGGAGATAGAAAACACCTGATATGTTGCTACATATTATTTTCTTGATTTTCAACAAAGTATTTTACTAACTGTACATGTCTACCACCTCATTTGTATTAGTATGTGTCAAACCTTTATGAAGTTTTCATAAAAAATATATATAAATGTGGAGAAAGTATATATCAGCAAATCATAATTGCATTCAGAAACATAGAAACTGGTTCCAAATTTACATAAAATATAGCTGTCTAGATAGATCTTGTCAATGCTATCTTATCTTAATTCATAAAAAAAAAGAAAATGCATAATTGTGGATATTATGAATTTTTGGTCAAAATAATTATTCAAAAATTAAGTTCCCACATTAAGCTAGG